GGGATATAGACCGCATTTCAGACTGGTGTAAAAGTTGGCATATGAATCTAAACATTGATACATGTCATCATGTGCGCTTCACAAAGAAAACTAAACCGCTGCTTTTCTCATACAGCTTGAATGGCACTACACTTACCGTTACCCCAGAGGTAAAATATCTCTGGATAACCTTTACAGAGCGGTTATCTTGGCAGTCCCATATTAGCAAAATAACCGCTAAAGCGACTGGTATGTTGTATTTTTTTGGACGCAATTTTAGAAGCTGCCCTCCCAAAGTTAAGGAGACATTGTATTTGACAAATATAAGGCCTATTCTTGAGTATGCTTGTGTACTCTGGGATTCCCAGATACAGAATCTGTGTGACGACCTTGAAAGTGTTCAAAACAGAGCAGCGAGATTCGTGACCGGAAATTATGATTATACTGTAAGGTCGAGTGTCCTAAAAGACTGTCTTGGTTGGCAGCCGCTAAATTGCCGAAGATCCGCTTTACGTTTAAAACTCTCTCATAACATTTATAATAACAAAACGGGCATAAACGGGGGATCGTTCCTTCAGTTGCCTCACTTCATATCACGCGGGGTAGATCATCGGAATAAGCTTCGCGAATATTCGTGCCGCACTAATATCTTTAAACACTCTTTTTTTCCTATTACCACTCATCAATGGAACTGTCTACCCGAGTCGCTTGTCATGGTATCATCCAACAATGTGTTTTTTTTAGACTTATTGAAGAGTGCCTGTACCTTATCTCCTGATATGTCAAATGTATTAATAATTGTATATTGCTTACTATTCTTCTTGTTCTTTCCACTAGCAAACTTTGTGTCACAAAACCTAGAGTTCGTTTATTGTTTTCCTCTGTCTGTATGCCCCTCCCCCCCTTTTCTGTAATGCCTCTGGGCGCTGAAGGGTATATCGAATAAATAAATAAATAAATGACTACTTCTGGGATATATCAATCTCTCGCATTTGACTATTTTTTGGGCTACACCGTCTGGCTTTTGGCGGTTTGTGCTAGAACCTACCGGACAGCCCTGTGGACCATTTCCAGTGGAGCGCTCTCAACTGAGCTAACCAGGAGTTAGACGTCAGTAGAGCAAACGGATTCTAACAGCTGCCACCAGTCTATCACCAACGAGGGTGAACGGCCTGCATTTTCAAGATTAGGATGACAATGCAGTTAATGCAAAGGTGCGAGCGAGCTGGACAAGAATAGCGATAATAATCCCTGGAGAAGGGGAACAAATGACAGACACAAATCAAGAGGGTAGGGCAGGAGGAAGGAAGGCTGGGGACGAGGAAGCAGACGGAACGCTGGAGAGAGGTTTCGCCCTCTCCAGCATTCGTCTGCCCCGCCTTCCTTTCCCTCGCCTTCTTGAGCTGGAACTGCGCGACTGAAAAAAACCCGCCTGATCCTGTCGTCCTTGGTGACCTCATCGCGCACCCTCCCGAAGCGATCTTGCAGATCATCTGCAGTCCCTTTTGGACACTCGTCTGGGGTTTGTGGTGCTTCGCAGTGCTGGAAACGAGCGTAACAGTTGATGCTGTCATCGATTGTCCTCGTTCGTACCTGACCATTTTGATGGCACCTGGATAAATGGCCATTTTTGTATTCAACAGTGGAACCAAAAAGCGAAAACCACGGACCACATCTGGCCAGGAAGGCTGACCCGAACATTTACAGCTTCATCGAAGCTTGCAAATGGTGGTTTCGTGAGGGCACAAGGGGGTCAGCAAGAACCTTTCTGATGGTAGCATTTCCCTGCTCGACTTCCACAACAAGGCGATGACGTTTTCTGGTCTATAATTTCTTCCTGTGTGCGCAAAAAATCAACGTTTAAAATTGCAAAAAAAAAAAAAAAAAGCCGCTGTTATATTTGTTAGCCTGCCTGATTTATCGCTCTCCGAGATATCTAGTTCACTATTAGGGAGTTTTAAAATAACTTGCGCAGGCGCTTTTGGTACCCTAAAAATAGCGTCGCGATATAAAACCTGTGGCGACGCCCATTTCAGCTTTTGGTTTTATTTATTTACAGAAAAAAAACCTGCTTCGCCGTGAGGCATTATTGCAGGGGGTGGGTTTGATACAAACACTTTTGTTTTAGAATATAAGTAATACACAAAAAAAAAAAAAGCAAAACACTTTCTATGGATCAATAATGAAATTAAATAAAAACATACTGTCTATAAAAACACTACACAATTGAAAATTCAAAAAACCAAATTTGCCGCAAGCACATCTTTCGGCAACCTATTCCACTCTTCAATGGTTTTCGGAAAGAAGGAAAAAGCAAAGGTGTCGGTGCGGCAAGAGTACGGTCTAATCTTCTTGGGGTGATCTGCTCTTTCGGACACATAAAACGGTTCATGTAAAAACACATCTCTGTTAATTAATAGTCTATTGTTGTAGATATCATCTAAAATTTCATCCTAAACAATTTTCTACGCTCACTGAGTTTCTCCCAATGTAGGGCATGTTTCATGTTAGTGACACTCGCTCCAAGTTCGTAATAGTTTAGTACAAATCTAGCACATTGATTTTGTATCTTTTCAAGTTTGTCTATTAAATACTTTTGGTGTGGGTCCCAGACAACTGAGGCGTATTCCATACACGGACGGATATATGTTAAGTATAAAGTTTCTCTAACTTTCCTCGGGGCTTGCCGAAAATTTCTCCGTACAAAATTAAGCATTCGTATTGCCCTTAGGGCTATCATTTCAACATGTCCCGTCCACGTTAAATCATTAGATAACATAACACCTAGGTATTTTACATTCGAGCTAGGTTTAATTATTTCATTATTTATCATGTACACGGAAGTAGTGGGATTTTTTTTCTTAGTAAATTTAACATGCACGCACTTTTTAACATTTAGGTTAATTCTCCAATTTTTACACCATACAGAAATTTTATCTAGATCACTCTGTAAAGTATTAATATCGTTAGAATCATTAATTAATCTATAAATAACACAATCGTCCGCAAATAATCGAATATACGATTGCATGCCAGAAATAATGTCGTTTATATAGATCAGGAAGAGCAGAGGACCCAGTACCGAGCCCTGGGGGACACCAGACTCGACTTTTACATACTCAGATTTTTCCCCACCGAGCACGACACATTGCCCCCGTCCACTTAGGTAATCTTTAATCCAAGCCAGTACGTTGCTATGCAGTGACAGTAAGCTAAGTTTATAAAATAACAAATCATGATCTACAAGGTCAAATGCCTTTCGAAAATCCAAAAACAAACAATCCACCTCGTCTCTAGCGTCAATGGCTCCAGCAAGAAAATGAAAGACATCAACAAGTACTGTGTTACAGGATGCTCCAGTACGAAATCCGTGTTGATCTTGAATAAGAAACTTTTCGACGTTTAGATGAGCAATGAGATTACTATAAATGACATGTTCCATTAGCTTGCAGCAAATGCACGTCAAAGAAATAGGTCTATAGTTTTCCACACAGTTTTTTGCTCCTGACTTGTGTATAGGCACCACATTTGCCATTTTCCAATCAGATGGAAGCTTTTGTTCCAGTAGAGATTTATTAAAAAGAACACACAAGTAATTTGCCAACTCTTCAGAACAGTTTTTCAATATAACCGGAGAGATGTTATCCGGTCCGATTGCTTTCTGGACATCAAGTTCTCGCAACAGCGAGGCTATGCCATTATATGTTATTTCAATGGGTGACATGACATGTTTAATTTTTTGTTGCACGTTTGGGTGACAGCACGTTGCAGCAGGTTTAGAAAAAACAGATTCGAAATATTTATTCAGATGCGTTGCCTTTCTTTTTTCATTTTCGATAAGTTCATCGCCTACTAAAAGAGGAGGAACAGACGTATCGTCCTTGTTATTTGCTTTTACAAACTTCCAAAATTCTTTAGGGTTCATTTTAAGTTTATTTTCTAACTGCTCGTAATACGAGTCTTTGGATCTTTTTATTGTAGCTTTAAAAAGACTATTTATGTTTTCTAATTTCACCCTATTTGATTCACTCGCCCTATTCTTATATCGAAGGTATGCTCTTCTTTTTCGTTTAATAATCTGTTTCACCTATTTTGTCACCCAGGGCTTATTCTTAGTTTTTGAGGATTTTACTCCGGAGGGGATGTATTTTTCAACTAGGTCATGGATTTTACATTTGAAGATGTTCCAGAGTGCATCAATACTAACGTTATCGGATTGTTCTAAAAAATACGAAAAAAAACTAACAAGTTCGCTTCTTATGGTATCATATCGTCCTTTATCGTAATAAAATATTTTTCTAGCTTGACATTTATATTTATTTATTTTTGAATGAACCAAATCAGCTGTCACAATCTTATGATCAGAAATGCCCGGTAGCACACAAACATTGTCTATGGCCCCCGGTAGGTTGCATAACAACAAATCCAATACATTTAACAGTCTCGTTCCCTCCATGACGTATTGTGTTAAGTCAAACATTTCCACAATGGCACTCAATTTAGTATGAAGCGTGCTTCCTGAGTAGGTCGCCTTGCCGTCCTCCCAAATTAAATCGGGAATGTTAAAATCTCCGCCCAGAAGGATATACTCTTTTGAGGATGCAAGGATCAAATCAGCTAGTTCATCTAAGCCGTTACTGTTCTCGTGTGGAGGACGATAGTATACACCAACCGATAAATGTTTACCGTCTAAACACATCTGGCACCATGCCGTTTCTATGGTTACATCTGGTATTGGCAAAGGTGTAGTCGGAACACCTTTTTCCACAAGGACAAACACGCCTCCGCCGTGCGAATTTCTATCCTTTCTGTAAACAGCATAATTCTCTGGAAATACTTCGTTTGATCCTATAGTGTCATCCAACCAGGATTCCGTCCCCAAGACAATCGTAGGTCTGACCGTTTCGATTGAACCCATGAATTCGTCCACCTTATTTTTTATACTGCGGCAGTTAATAATCATGACTGTGCCCACCTCCGTGTTTCTCGTGGTCACAACAGGCTTGTTTGCCCCTTGTATGTCACGACGATTGGAATTGCCTAGGTATGATGAACGGTTTGCGCCGTTATACTTTACGTTTAAGCTTCATTGCCATGGGTGCCTGGTTTGATGCCGATGGAATATCGATAAGTTCTCTAGACTGAATATTGTCGACCTCACGCACAATGTCAGATTCATGATCAAACATAAAGCACCCATCGTTGATATGCAGTCGGTCCATTCGCAACCTGAACCGGCTGTTTTGCGTTTTCGCAAATTCCACTAGTTTCCTTCTTGCCAGCTGAACTGGCCTAGAAAAGTCATCACTAACAGCGAAGCCACTATCTTTAAGCCTGTATCCGGAAGATAGGACCGCTTCTTTGTGTTTAAAAAAACAAAACTTAACTACAATGGGCCTTTTTTTAGCTCTGTTGAACGCTCCAATGCGATGTGCCCTATCAATATTGTCCGGATTTATCTTTATGCCCATCTTTTTGTCGCAAAGATCGATAATGCGAGATTCCGATTCAGCCCACGTTTCCTTATCTTTATCTTCCAGTCCGAAAAATACCAGATTCGATCTACGTGAACGATTTTCTGCATCATTGCAGCGCGACTTTAGAACAGCGAGTTCAACTTGCGCAGTTTCCAATTTTGAATCGTTATTTTGTGCAACCTGTATATCCGGCTGAGAGGCCCTAAGCTCTCTCTCAAGCGTGCAGAGCTGTTCCGTTAAGTCAGATACTTTTTTGTCCGCACCAGAACGCCCTTCTGAAATTTCCCTCATTTTCTGGGCTAGCTCATCTTGTATATCCGACTGGGAGGCGTTCAGTTTTCTTTCGAGCGAAGTCGAAGTCTGCGTCAGCTCGCGCTTGTCCATGGTGATTGTGAAGCCTCGCGTTTTCCTCGGCCGCTGAGATGACGAGTGGCAGGCACGAGGAATCCGGCACGTCATCGAGCGACAGCAGGAGCTGAATAACAAAGAAGAACGGAATGTAAGATGACCGCATCGTGGTAGTGCAGCCGTCCCCACTAACCTAACCATCTCATAGAATTAAAAAGGCTGCCATCAAAACTATTATTGCCTTTGGAAGTGCTCCTCTGGGCCGCTGACCTGAGCGGTAAAGTTTCGTGCCTACTAATACCATTTCAAAATAAAATTTGAAAAAAAAAAAAGAAAAAAAAGCGCCAACGTCGTGTTCGCGGTAACAGTGTCGCGCTGTGTACATAGTCCGTTTCCCGATTGCGCGTTTTGGAGGCCCTTTAGTAGGAGCATGTTACGTTGAAGCCTCTCTGAAAGGGTCGTATAAAAGAATATGCGTTAGCAACGAAACAAATATTTCAGAACCCATTAGTGAGCAGAAAAGGCGCGCAGACCAGGGTTCGAACGATGGAGACTTTTCGCGAAAAGGTTGAGATGTACAGGACGTACAACAAATGGGTAGAAACGGGACGAGTTGGAACGCAAAAGGTTCCAGTAACATAATGGCGCTTCGGGAATGGGTCGAAACGGAAAGGGCGTTTCGGGAATGGGCCGAAAGGAGAAAGTCCGCTGAGGGCGGGGAGGCTCATGATCCCACGAGTTCCGAACTGCAACGATGGCTGAACCGAGTGAGCGAGCTCGGAGAGCTTGGGCGTGTCCACGACGCCGCAGGGTTGGACGGCGAGCGTTCCGCAGGCCATCGGATGGCGCGGGGGCGGACGACGACCGCGCTCCCGACCCGACGTCTATTTCGAGAAGCCTGGAGCGACCTTGCCAAGGTCGACGCATTCCGGGGAGGGCCGCACCTGCTCGCGCCTATTTGGGGCCCTGCAGACTGCGTCCTCTCGATCACAATCCCCCCTTCATCTTTCGGCAGCCGTGGAAAACAATGGCCTCGCTTGTGCGTCGTCAGAGTGGGCGCGTCTCCGACACTGCCTTGGAAGGAAATTTAAATGGAACATCGCCCCCAACAGGAATTCCCTCTCACCCACGACAATTTTTCTCTTCTTGCGTTACACTCCCAGTTTCAACGCGGTGACTAATCGATGGTTTGGTGATACAAAAAAAGATATAGCTTTTTGAATACATATGAAATAAGTTGCAGGTCACTCGAACTAACGCAGCATTTCATTGTAAACGTGTCGCGCCGACTTATTAAGGATGACAACAGCGATGCAGTCCTCAAATTATAAGCCGAGTAACTAAAAATACCGTACAATTTGAAACTGAGGGAAACAAAGAAAGAAACGACGAGGTCATGCGATCATTGTGTCGGAGAGTGGTCCCAGGAAGATCCGATTCAATTGCTGAACTCATCGATTTCCCCATTAGACAGCTGCGTTATCAGTTTCGGCCACTGCTCACACAGTAGTACGGTGAGGCACACCGTACAATGGCATGCTTACTCGCTGGCACGCCAACCTTTTGCTAGGCTCCCAATCATCCCGAATAATAGACGAAATTACGAATAAAATAAGCAGAGTTAGATCATTATGGCCACACAAATGTATGTGAAACGAGCAGTCTACATCAGGGGGACCTCATTCGGGGTCTAATACAGCAGCTCGTTAGATCAAACCCCATCTGCTAGATGTGTGAGCTCCATGATCTTGGCAGACACTTCTAGTTCCTAACTAAACCCGCTTAAAAGTCCGGGAGTTGTACCCAGACCGCTTACGTTTGCTTTGGCACGCCAACTTCCACACGTTTGTACGATCGTTTTATTCTGCATGTGGCCGATTATTTAATGTCCTTTGACTTTTCAATCTATGGAAATTCACAGACTGAATAAAAAAAACTTATTGTCTATAATCAGGGTCACGAGAATATATTGAAGGGTGGGATTTATAAAGTTTGCTAGATCTATGGCGGGACAATATTTACCCTCCAAATCCAAGCAGCACCAAATGTGTTGGCCACGAACCCGCGACAACTTATGAAGGGACTAATGACAAACGCACGAAGTCTATAATAATTACAGACCTATCTGATACTCTGACCCAGAAGCTTGAACAGCAAGCACACAAAATAGATCTAGAATGCCGAAGAATGAATGAAAAAAAAAAAAAAAGGAAAGACGTTTACAATTCTCCGTAATGCCAAATTAGAGCGCAGCTCTTGAGGAGGAGGAAGGGAGGGTATAGAGGGGAGGGCATGCCCCTGCTCCTCCCTTTCCTGCTCTCCTCCCATTTAGCGGGAAAGTTTCGCTAAATTTTCCGCACAATTTAGCGGGAAATTTGCCAACATTAGAGAGTTTTCGAATAGCGCACGCTAAAGCTTTGCGCACGGAAAGAATAGCGTCGTCGCCACTGCGCATGCGTCGAACGCTAACCACGTTTCGCGCTTTGCGTGCGCTAGCGTGCGCACGCAAAGAGTCTTTGCGCTCCTCTAAGGAGGATTCGTGATGAGAAGTTGGCTAAAACCGAGACGAGCACAGTTAAAAAATGGCGGCTCCCAGGCTCATGGCCTCGTGCAAGGAGGCTGAAAATTCTATGAGGGGGTGGTTGCAATACGCCTCGCAAGTGGGCTCATTTTTGTCTTCTGCGCATGAGAAAGGAAGTAGCGGTGACGTCAAAACGCCGAGCCCTGATTGGCTGATCGCGACCCCCTATCTCAGCGTCGTCTCCTCCTTTGCAACGTCGTCTGCTCGCAACATCGTCTGCGCCTGTCTTACCTTTCCTGCGACTTTCGGAAGTGCAGGTCTTTACGAGCGAGCTCGAGTTCGCCTTTCAGAGAGGGCAGACGAAATAACCTCAGCGGTACGTTGTTTTTGTCTAACAACTAGCAGACGCGCATCAAGGAGGGAAGTCAAAGGACTCACTGGTGAGGTGTCCCGAGGCGCCGAGGTTTGTTTGCGAAGAACCGAGAGTGAGCGTGTTAGTGTACGCAAGTTCCCTCCCAAATACTTTTTCCCTCCTTTCGTGAGCGGCGAGACCCCTCATTCTTTAACGGCGCCGGCGGGTTGGCGCAGTTAACGTCGTCTGCTTTACATCTGCTAGTCAAAGCGATGGCTGCTTTACCTTTCCTGCGTCTGTCGGAGATTCACCGCTTTTTCACCGGCGAGAGTCACCGTTGCCTCGGGAAACAAGGAGATAACAAGAGGAAGAAATTGACCCTTAATCTAAAATTGAGGTCAGCGATCAAAGTATAATACGGGAAGGGTTCACATGGGTCGCGCGGGCATATTTCATTCAGCACGCCAGCCGGTCGTGGGCAGACGGTCGCCGAGTCGCGGAGTGCCTGCTAGGCCTAACTGCGCAGCTCGCTTGGTCGCGTTCGGTGGTATCGTGGCTATTGGAGCTTTTCCCGGGTGTTTGTGGATCCAGCGTTCTTGTTCGTCGTGGTCTGTTTGAAGTACTTTTTACTTTTTTCTTGCTGCTTGACGTCGGGACGCGTGAAAAGCGCACGTAGAAAAATAAAAGTCCGTTGGTCGTCGCGACCGCGATGCTGTCGGCCATGCTCATTTGATCGTAAGTGCGTAAGACAGCTTCGGAGCTGTCGTAGGGTTTCGTCGTAACCTGCGCAAAACTTACGAAAATTTCGTTTCGTGAATACGAATTTGTTCTTAAGTTCTGTCTTACGCACATTTTTGGCGTAAGATCGTTTCGTGAATCTGGCCTCTGCCCTTCCGAAAGTCGCAGGAAAGGTAAAGGCCCGTTCACACTCTTGCGACTGCTTGCGACCTCTTAAACCTGGGTTCCTTAAAACTTCTTAAACCAGAGAACACACTGGCGCCATCTATTGGGAAGCAGTGTAAACTCGGCGGTCCGGCATATTTTTTTTTTATTTCTCGCGCAATATCCTTTCTTTTTTGGCTCGAAAAACTTTTGTCAATGTTATAAACGAGCCTTTCTATGGGTATTACGCACATTTGACCTCGGAAACCCCGCAAAACCTTCGCTTTTGTGAAATGCAGTTCTAGGGTCACCGCATAGATGGCGCCACAATGTCAGTGTGTTCCCTCATTCTAGAAACATTTAAGAAGTTGTAAGAGATCTCGTCTCTCTCAGTCGTACTCGGTCGCAAGAGTGTGAACGGGCCTTTAGACAGACGCAGACGACGTTGCGAGCAGACGACGCTGCAAAGGAGCAGACGACGCTCAGATAGGGGGTCGCGATCAGCCAATGAGGGCTCGGCGTTCTGACGTCACCGCTACCCCCTGCGCAAGAAGCAGACGAACTTGCCCTCCGCATAGGTTTGAAGCCATAAAAAATTGAAACGACTGTTTGGCCAACGTGACCGTGGGATCTCTCTGTCAATTGGTGCGCGTTTCATGTCAGATGCGAGATTGTTGATTGTAGAAGGATTCTTTGCAGGGGTTGCGCGCGCTCCGTCCGGTAGGGTTTATGAGATCGAAGGCTGGAAGCAAGCAAGCGGTTGAGGTGGATCACGAGCAGACCGCTAGTGGTGGGACGATCAGGGCAATCGCCGGAGAAAACGAAAGCCTGGCGTCGCCGGGACGCTAATTTCCGCCGGCCACGGGATGGGCGCTTGCAGCGTGGTCGGCTGCCGCGATCGGAGTGGCTTTTTCTTCAGCGGGGGTTACCTTTCACCGGTAAGCCCTTGGCGTATTACACACACATAGTTTTACGATAACAGGAATCGACCAACAATTCTTTTAAATTTCCGACGCTCGCCGAACTGCGGAAACAATGGATTTCGGCCGTCGGTCGCGGCGGAGGCTGGACCCCATCGAAGTGGAGCGTGGTGTGCTCCGTGCACTTCCAATTGCCAATAAAACATCACCTCGAGTCACGTAGAGCTGGTTCACTTTATCACGACAGCAATAAAACGTCCCAGTGGACGACCTGCATAGCGGTCGCAACGGAAAGAAAAAGCCAAACGTATTTTAGCGTGATATAACGGGAGCGATGAGAGCGCAGCTATGATTTGCAGGC